TCCTTGAATCCCTGTACTAAAAGGAATGGAAGCAGCAGCAACAGAAGCTTCCATCTACACCGCTCATTGTGGAGGCAGATGAGGTGCAGCGGCCTTCAAGATAGGTGGAGGTTGCAGTGTCTGAGGAGGAGATGTCTGGGGTGAATGAGGAAGGGGGAGCAGCTGAAGTGGAGCAGCAGCAACAGCAGCAGCAGCAGCATGAGTCTCCACCTCGAGTTCCACACCCGCCTGAGCGACCTAGGAGGGATGTGCGCCCTTCGGTGAGGCTGACCTATGGGGGAAGAGGCAAGCCGAATGTGGTGCAGGCTGGGAGTGTGGTTGAGCAGATTGAGGAAGATGAGATTGCTCACTGCTACTGGGCACCAATCCCCGAGCCCAAAACTCGAGAGGAGGCCTTGAATGGACCAAATGGGGAGAAGTGGAAGGTGTTGTGTGATGTCATCATATGCTATCACATTCTGTCTGCCTCCCATCCCATGTTTTTTCAACTTGCATGTGTGGTTTGAATGTGCAAGCATTTGTGTGTGGTGTGTTCTGGAGTTTGGGAATGTGTTTTGTGTTATTCTGTCTGAGCAGGTATTTGTGATAATAGATCTTGAGAAGATCTTTCCGACGCAACAAGAATCGCTTCAATCGGAGCAAGAACGCGAAAGCTATGAAGATTCAAAGTTCATGAGCTTGCGTTACAATTGCGGCGGTTACTAAGTGAAGTTGTGGGGTGACTTTATATGGAGTTGGGACCTTTGGGGTTGGGGAAACTTGTCACTCTACTGTAACAGCTGCAAATTGGTTGGGAACAACCAAGCTAGGTTGGCAAGGGTGGCCAACTTGGATGGATTGGTTGGGAAGGGACAAATGTCAAAGTTGGGGTTCCTATAGGGAGGGAATCTTTGTGCTTATGGGGTTTTCCTTGGTTGGGGACTCTCTTGGGACCTTCCCTCTCATCCCTCTCTTCCTATCCCAACCTTTCTCTTGCTCCTTCTAATTCCTTGTGAGATTCTTGAACTTTGATTGAACTCTTGAGATTGAGTTAAGTTCTCCTCCTACAGCTTACCCCCTAGTGCGTCGAAAGCCATAGCGTCGCGAATACTTCATCAATCAACGTGATTCAAATTGGGAACGGTAGCTGAGATCAAGAGCTACAACATATCCAAGTTTCGCGACATTCCAACGGCTAGTGTTTTGTCGACGTCGTTTCTTGTGAAGACGACTTTTCTGTCCAGAATTTCGGATTTATATTTTGAGTAATTCTAGCTCCTAAGTTCACCTAGACTCTGTCCTTAATCCTAACAAGTGGTATCAGAGCTGTATTAAGGACGTTGAGAGGAGTCTACAGAAGTGTGAAGACCCTTCTAGACCCACCATGGCCTGTGGGTGTGCCTAAGTGGTGTTCTAAAGGTTGGATGTGTCTTCCGCTAAGGGAAACTCTGCCGAAATTTCGTGGACGCCGACACTTGTGAAAATATCGAGGGAGCTGAGTGTGGACAGCAAAGGGGGGCTGAAATTCGTCATTTCTCAAGGAGAAGATGAATGAGAGAGGAGGAGATGCTAATGGAAGAGGAGCTGTAGCTGAGAAGACAAGTGAGCCGCCGCCATCAAAAGTTGAAGCTTTGGATGGCTCCAACTATGAGGAATGGAGCGGACGGATGAGGAGTGCCTTCAAACGCTACAAGCTACTGAAGATTGCTGTTGGGGAAGAGAAGATGCCGGAAGAAGGCGAAGCACGTGAACGGTGGATTGAGAAAAGCACGGTGCTTTTCGACCTCATCCTTCAATCGGTCAACAAGGAGATGTTCGAGCACATCAAGGATCTTGTGGAAGCGGATGATTCGGGTCCAAGGGCGTGGAAACTACTACGCGATGTGATTCAGCCCAACACTCTCCTGATGGTGATCGTGCTCGAGAAGGAACTTGCTGCCATCTCCATGCGACCAGGGGACGATGTGAAGCCGGTCCTTGACAAGATCAAGGACACCTATGCAAGGATGGCAGCAGCGGGCAGCAGTGTATCTCAGCTGCAGCAGTGCACCAAGATCATCTCGGTGTTGGACAACTCTTGGGACAACCTCATCCCCACCCTCAACTCTCAGCAAGATCAATGGACACCTGAGTGGCTAAGGCAGCAGATTCTGCAGGAGGACTTCCGCAGACGCCATGTGGGAGGCGGTGCTGCCACTAAGACTGCTGAGGGGTATGGAGCTGCAGGGCGCAGCAGAGGAAGAGGGGGTTGGAGAGGCCGAGGCCGTGGGAGAAGCTTTGGCAGAGGTAGAGGCCGAGGTGACTATAATGAGGGGCATGGGAGCTCCAGTGGCAGGGGGAGTACCAGAATGGAGGGCACCTGCTGGTACTGCAAGAAGGTCGGGCATCCTTGGTTCAAGTGCTTCAGCAGGCTGGAGGGATGGTCACCTCCAGGCATGAAGCCGCCAAGTGGTGAACGCGCACAAGGTGGCGCTGTGCAAGGCTCAGGTGCACAAGGTGAAGGTGCACAAGGTAACGCCTATCCTGGGATGTATCTCATGGTTGAGGATGTGCATGGGCATGAGGGTGATGTGGGATCTGTCGGAAAGGTTGTGATGCACCCTCTCACGCACTGGGTGATTGATTCGGGTTGCACCAGTCACATGACTCCACGGGCAGATTTGCTTGATGAGGTAAAACCCCCTGGGAAGATTAAGTATGTGGCAGCAGCGTCAGGTGCTTTGCTCCCCGTGATTGGTGTTGGGAATGCCAAGGTTAAGGGAGCTAATGGGGAGCTTGTGGGGCTTGGGAATGTTCTGCTGGTTGAAGGCTTGTCTGCTAACCTTCTCTCTGTGCGACGACTGCAGAAGAGCAAGGCCGAAGTGACCTTTGGACCAACCAGCTGCCGTGCTAAGCTTGGGAAGAAGGTGCTGTGGAGTCTGGAAGAGGAGACCAGCTGCATCAAGGACCTGTGGCAGCTGCCCATCATCCCATGGAATGGGAAGACTCCAACAGCAGCAACGGCAGCAGCGGCAAAGGCAACAGCAGGAGGAGATGCAACTGCACCAACTGATGGGGTCCTGGAAGCAGTCAAGAAAGTGCAGCAGCAGCAGACACATGGTGAGGTGCTTGCTGGTGTGGATGCAAGTGCGGCATGGGCTAAGGCTTCACCAAGGAGTGGAGAGGCCGATTGGGAGACATGGCATGAGAGGCTGTGTCATGTGAACTTCCCTATGCTGCAGAAGTTGGTGAAGAATGGGAGCCTGAAGGGCTTGGAGGTGAAAGGGGAAGTGAAGGAGATTGGGAGCTGCCCTACATGCTTGGAGACCAAGTTCTCCAAGTTCCCCTTCAACAGTGCAACTGGACCATCCAAGACCCCACTTGCACTTGTGCACATGGATGTGGTGGGGCCCACAAGAGCCCCTTCCCTCTCAGGCAGCCGCTATTTCTTGACAATTGTGGATGACCACACTTGGGCAGTGTGGGTTTACCCTTTGAAGAGCAAGGGGGAGGTGGCAGCGGCTGTCCTTAAGGAGTGGATGCCGAGAGCTCAGAGGGAATGCGGACACAAGGTGAAGGTGATCCGTAGTGACAATGGTGGGGAGTTCATTGGAGCTGATTTTGAGGGGGAGTTGAAGAGGAAGGGGATCCAGCATCAACTGACAGTGCCCTACAACCCACAGCAGAATGGCGTGGCTGAGAGGTTCAACAGGACCCTGCAGGAGGGGGCACGCACTCTCCTTGGGCGTGCAGGGCTGCCTGATCCGTTTTGGGTGTCTGCACTGAGGCAGGTCGCCCTTGTGAAGAACAGGGTGCTGGCTACAGTTGGAGATAAGGAGTGGATCCCATACGTCAAGTGGTATGGGAGTGCTCCAGCTGTGAACATGCTGAGGGCATTTGGGTGCATGGTGGTGTTTCATGTGCCTAAGGAGAAAAGGGGGAAGTTGGAGGCTTCTGGAAGATGGGGTGTGCACTTGGGGATTGCAAAGGATCACAAGGGGTGGCTGCTATGGGACTTGACCACCCAGAAGTTGACAGTGTCAAGGGATGTGAAGTTTCTTGAGTCCCTGTACTACAAGGAATGGAAGCAGCAGCAACAGAAGCTTCCATCTACACCGCTCATTGTGGAGGCAGATGAGGTGCAGCAGCCTTCAAGACAGGTGGAGGTTGCAGTGTCAGAGGAGGAGATGTCTGGGGTGACTGAGGAAGGGGGAGCAGCTGAAGTAGAGCAGCAGCAGCAGCAGCAGCATGAGTCTCCACCTCGAGTTCCACACCCGCCTGAGCGTCCTAGGAGGGATGTGCGCCCTCCAGTGAGGCTGACCTATGGGGGAAGAGGCAAGCCGAATGTGGTGCAGGCTGGGAGTGTGGTTGAGCAGATTGAGGAAGATGAGATCGCTCACTGCTACTGGGCACCAATCCCTGAGCCCAAGACTCGAGAAGAGGCCTTGAATGGACCAAATGGGGAGAAGTGGAAGGCGAGTGAGGATGAGGAGTTCGGGTCCCTAATTGAGAACGAGACATGGGACCTGTGTGACTTGCCTCCTGGAAAGAAGGCAATCACTTCCAAGATGATCTACAGGCACAAGTATGGACCTGAAGGGGAGCTGACCCGCTACAAGTCTAGGCTTGTGGCACGGGGGTTTCAGCAGACAAAGGGGAAGGACTATGATGAGGTGTTTGCTCCTGTGGGGAAAGGAACAACATTGAGGGTGCTGTTGGCGATAGCTGCACTCCTGGGATGGAAGATTCGGCAGATGGACATTGTGACTGCCTTTCTGAATGGGATCATTCTGGAGGAGGTGTACATGAAGCAGCCAGAGGGGCTGGATGATGGGAGCGGCAGGGTCTGCAGGCTGAAGAAGGCCATCTATGGCCTTAAGCAGGCGCCTCGTGCATGGTATCACAAGTTGGAGGAGGCGCTGCTGGCTGGGGGTTTCAAGAAGAGTGAGTGTGACCCCAGCCTGTTCCTGCTGCAGGAGAAGGACGAAATCCTCATGCTCTTGGTGTATGTGGATGATATCCTTCTCTTTTCTGCATCAACTGCTTTGCTGGACAGCGCAGAGCAGATGCTGGAGATGCAGTTCAAGTGCTCCAAGATGGGTGAGGCGAAGTACTACTTGGGGATGCACGTGGAGAGAGATGTGGAAAAGGGTGTGCTGAGGTTGCACCAGAGGAAGTACTGTGAGGGGCTGGCTGAGAAGTATGGGCTGCAAGATGGGGGAAAGCCAGCAACACCACTACCTTCGGGGTTCACTGTGGAGCCATGTGCTGATGAGGAGGTAGTGGGTGATAGTGACAGGAAGCTGTTTCATTCGATGGTTGGGTCGCTGAATTATCCTGCAAATCATACACGGCCTGACATTGCATTTGCTACATCACGGTTGGCTAGTGTGGTCTCACGCCCTAGTCATGAGCAGCTGGAAGCGGCCAAGAGGTTGGTCCGCTATGTGAGTGCTACGGCATCAGTGGGATTGGAGTACAGTGGAGTGAGGCAGCGGTTGCAGAGAGGTGCTGCAGATGTGAAGAGTGGAGAGATGCTCTTGAGTTGCTATACTGACGCTAGCTTCAACTCAGTGAAAGCGGATGGCACCAGCATTGGGGGTTATGTGTGCTTGCTAGGAGGTGGTGCTGTGAGCTGGCGCAGCAAGAAGCAAAATGAGGTGGGATTGTCTTCATGTGAGACTGAGTACATGGCCTTACACCATGGGGCCAAGGAAGTGGTATGGCTGAGGCGTTTGTTGGAGGAGTTGGGAGTTGGTCAGGAGAAGCCGACAGTTGTGTTTTGTGACAATGAGTCCGCTGTGAAGCTCGCCAAGAATGCTTGTCTGCATGGGCTGACAAAACACATAAGGCCTAAGTGGCATTGGGTGAGGAGACTCCTTGATAAGGAGGTGCGGCTGGAGATAGTGAAGACCCATCAGCAGGCAGCAGATATTTTCACTAAGCGTCTGGCGGAGGCGGATCATTGGAAGGGCATGAAGCTTGCTGGGATGAGTGTGCATTGAGTATGCATGCTTGAGATGTGGTATGGTCGATGATGGTTGGCAGCCAGAGGGGGAGATTGTTGTGTGATGTCATCATATGCTATCACATTCTGTCTGCCTCCCATCCCATGTTTTTTCAACTTGCATGTGTGGTTTGAATGTGCAAGCATTTGTGTGTGGTGTGTTCTGGAGTTTGGGAATGTGTTTTGTGTTATTCTGTCTGAGCAGGTATTTGTGATAATAGATCTTGAGAAGATCTTTCCGACGCAACAAGAATCGCTTCAATCGGAGCAAGAACGCGAAAGCTATGAAGATTCAAAGTTCATGAGCTTGCGTTACAATTGCGGCGGTTACTAAGTGAAGTTGTGGGGTGACTTTATATGGAGTTGGGACCTTTGGGGTTGGGGAAACTTGTCACTCTACTGTAACAGCTGCAAATTGGTTGGGAACAACCAAGCTAGGTTGGCAAGGGTGGCCAACTTGGATGGATTGGTTGGGAAGGGACAAATGTCAAAGTTGGGGTTCCTATAGGGAGGGAATCTTTGTGCTTATGGGGTTTTCCTTGGTTGGGGACTCTCTTGGGACCTTCCCTCTCATCCCTCTCTTCCTATCCCAACCTTTCTCTTGCTCCTTCTAATTCCTTGTGAGATTCTTGAACTTTGATTGAACTCTTGAGATTGAGTTAAGTTCTCCTCCTACAGCTTACCCCCTAGTGCGTCGAAAGCCATAGCGTCGCGAATACTTCATCAATCAACGTGATTCAAATTGGGAACGGTAGCTGAGATCAAGAGCTACAACATATCCAAGTTTCGCGACATTCCAACGGCTAGTGTTTTGTCGACGTCGTTTCTTGTGAAGACGACTTTTCTGTCCAGAATTTCGGATTTATATTTTGAGTAATTCTAGCTCCTAAGTTCACCTAGACTCTGTCCTTAATCCTAACAGAAGGCGAGTGAGGATGAGGAGTTCGGGTCCCTGATTGAGAATGAGACATGGGACCTGTGTGACTTGCCTCCTGGGAAGAAGGCAATCACTTCCAAGATGATCTACAGGCACAAGTATGGACCTGAAGGGGAGCTGACCCGCTACAAGTCTAGGCTTGTGGCACGGGGGTTTCAGCAGACAAAGGGGAAGGACTATGATGAGGTGTTTGCTCTTGTGGGGAAAGGAGCAACACTGAGGGTGCTGTTGGCGATAGCTGCACTCCTGGGATGGAAGATACGGCAGATGGACATTGTGACTGCCTTTCTGAATGGGATCATTCTGGAGGAGGTGTACATGAAGCAGCCAGAGGGGCTGGATGATGGGAGCGGCAGGGTCTGCAGGCTGAAGAAGGCCATCTATGGCCTTAAGCAGGCGCCTCGTGCATGGTATCACAAGTTGGAGGAGGCGCTGTTGGCTAGGGGTTTCAAGAAGAGTGAGTGTGACCCCAACCTGTTCCTGCTGCAGGAGAAGGATGAAATCCTCATGCTCTTGGTGTACGTGGATGATATCCTTCTCTTTTCTGCATCAACTGCTTTGTTGGACAGCGCAGAGCAAATGCTGGAGTTGCAGTTCAAGTGTTCCAAGATGGGTGAGGTGAAGTACTACTTGGGGATGCATGTGGAGAGAGATGTGGAGAAGGGTGTGCTGAGGTTGCACCAGAGGAAGTATTGTGAGGGGCTGGCTGAGAAGTATGGGCTGCAAGATGGGGGAAAGCCAGCAACACCACTACCTTCGGGGTTCACTGTGGAGCCATGTGCTGATGAGGAGGTAGTGGGTGATAATGACAGGACGCTGTTTCATTCGATGGTTGGGTCGCTGAATTATGCTGCAAATCATACACGGCCTGACATTGCATTTGCTACATCACGGTTGGCTAGTGTGGTCTCACGCCCTAGTCATGAGCAGCTGGAAGCGGCCAAGAGGTTGGTCCGCTATGTGAGCGCTACTGCATCAGTGGGATTGGAGTACAGTGGAGTGAGACAGCGGTTGCAGAGAGGTGCTGCAGATGTGAAGAGTGGTGAGATGCTCTTGAGTTGCTATACTGACGCTAGCTTCAACTCAGTGAAAGCGGATGGCACCAGCATTGGGGGTTATGTGTGCTTGCTAGGAGGTGGTGGTGTGAGCTGGCGCAGCAAAAAGCAGAATGAGGTGGGATTTTCCTCATGTGAGACTGAGTGCATGGCCTTACACCATGGGGCCAAGGAAGTGGTGTGGCTGAGGCGCTTATTGGAGGAGTTGGGAGTTGGTCAGGAGGAGCCGACAGTTGTGTTCTGTGACAATGAGTCTGCTGTGAAGCTCGCCAAGAATGCTTGTCTGCATGGGCTGACAAAACACATAAGGCCTAAGTGGCACTGGGTGAGGAGACTCCTTGATAAGGAGGTGCGGCTGGAGATAGTGAATACCCATCAGCAAGCAGCAGATATTTTCACCAAGCGTCTGGCGGAGGCGGATTATTGGAAGGGCATGAAGCTTGCTGGGATGAGTGTGCATTGAGTATGCATGCTTGAGATGTTAGTATGGTGGTTGATGGTTGGCAGCCAGAGGGGGAGATTGTTGTGTGATGTCATCATATGCTATCACATTCTGTCTGCCTCCCATCTCTTGTTTCAATTCGCATGTATGGTTTGACTGTGTGTGAAAGAATTTGTGTGGTGTGTGTTCTGGAGTTTGGGAATGTGTTTTGTTTTATTTTGCTTGAGCAGGTATTTTGTGATAGATCTTGAGAAGATCTTTCCGACGCAACAAGAATCGCTTCAATCGGAGCAAGAACGCGAAAGCTATGAAGATTCGAAGTTCATGAGCTTGCGTTACAATTGCGGCGGTTACAAAGTGAAGTTGTGGGGTGACTCTATATGGAATTGGGACCTTTGGGGGTTGGGGAAATTCGTCACTCTACTGTAACAGCTGCAAATTGGTTGGGAACAACCAAGCTAGGTTGGCAAGGGTGACCAACTTGGATGGATTGGTTGGGAAGGGACAAATGTCAAAGTTGGGGTTCCTATAGGGAGGGAATCTTTGTGCTTATGGGGTTTCCTTGGTTGGGGACTCTCTTGGGACCTTCCCTCTCATCCCTCTCTTCCATCCCAACCTTTCTCTTGCTCCTCTAATTCCTTGTGAGATTCTTGAACTTTGATTGAACTTTTGAGATTGAGTTAAGTTCTCCTCCTACAGCTTACCCCCTAATGCGTCGAAAGCCATAGCGTCGCGAATACTTCATCAATCAACGTGTTTCAAATTGGGAACGGTAGCTGAGATTAAGAGCTACAACAACATATCCGAGTTTTGCGACATTCCAACGGCTAGTTTTCCGTCGACAACGTTTCTTGTGAAGACGACTTTTCTGTCCAGAATTTCGGATTTATATTTTGAGTAATTCTAGCTCCTAAGTTCACCTAGACTCCGTCCTTAATCCTAACACTATGAGGGGCTGGCTGAGAAGTATGGGCTGTAAGATGGGGGAAAGCCAGCAACACCACTACCTTTGGGGTTTACTGTGGAGCCATGTGCTGATGAGGAGGTAGTGGGTGAGAGTGACAGGAAGCTGTTTCATTCGATGGTTGGGTCGCTGAATTATGCTGCAAATCATACACAGCCTTACATTGCATTTGCTACATCACGGTTGGCTAGTGTGGTCTCACGCCCTAGTCATGAGCAGCTGGAAGCGGCCAAGAGGTTGGTCCGCTATGTGAGCGCTACTGCATCAGTGGGATTGGAGTACAGTGGAGTGAGGCAGCGGTTGCAGAGAGGTGCTGCAGATGTGAAGAGTGGTGAGATGCTCTTGAGTTGCTATACTGACGCTAGCTTCAACTCAGTGAAAGCGGATGGCACCAGCATTGGGGGTTATGTGTGCTTGCTAGGAGGTGCTGCTGTGAGCTGGCGCAGCAAGAAGCAGAATGAGGTGGGATTGTCCTCATGTGAGACTGAGTACATGGCCTTACACCATGGGTTCAAGGAAGTGGTGTGGCTGAGGCGTTTGTTGGAGGAGTTGGGAGTTGGTCAGGAGGAGCCGACAGTTGTGTTTTGTGACAATGAGTCTGCTGTGAAGCTCGCCAAGAATGCTTGTCTGCATGGGCTGACAAAACACATAAGGCCTAAGTGGCATTGGGTGAGGAGACTCCTTGATAAGGAGGTACGGTTGGAAATAGTGAAGACCCATCAGCAAGCAGCAGATATTTTCACTAAGCGTCTGGCGGAGGCGGATCATTGGAAGGGCATGAAGCTTGCTGGGATCAGTGTGCATTGAGTATGCATGCTTGAGATGTTGGTATGGTGGATGATGGTTGGCAGCCAGAGGGGGAGATTGTTGTGTGATGTCATGATATGCTATCACATTCTGTCTGCCTCCCATCCCTTGTTTCAATTCACATGTATGGTTTCAATTCACCATGTTGGCTCCTAGCAGGGATCCCCACCCCTGCCACCGCTGTTTCTGAGACTACTGCGGCTGGAGCTCGACGCGCACGACCTGGGACTAGCGCAGCCGGTGCATCAGGTATGTGGTGTGTTTGGCTGTTGTGTGTTGTTCATCCTAGTGGTGCTCTATTAATGAACTGTTCTGCTACTTACAGGAGCCCCCACCTCTGCCCGAGCTGAACCCGACACTAGCACTACTGAAGCTCGCCGTGCAGGGCCTGACTTTGCTAGTGGTGAGTCGAGTTTCTGCCTCTGTTGTATCCAGTCAATCACAAGCAACTCTTTATTAATAACCTTGTCCTCATCTGGTAGGAACCCCTACCTTGGCCCCCGCTGTACCCAAGACTAGCGCTGCTGGTGCCCGTCGAGCAGGATCTGACTTTGCTACCGGTGATTCGTTTTTTTGGCCTCTGTTCTATTCAATATTTAGACACAACTCTTTACTAATAACCGTAATGGCATGTGGTAGGAATCCCGACCCCTGCCTCAGCTGTACTTGAGAGTAGGGCTGCTGGGGTTCGTCGAGCAGGACTTGCTGGTGTTTCTATTGGTGAGCCGTGGTTTTTACTTCTGTTGTATCCATGTCTTTACAAAAAACTATTTACTAATAACCACGTTGGCAACTGGCAGGAACTCTGACCCCTGCCACCATTGTACTCGAGAGTAGTGCTGCTGGTGCCCATCAAGCAGGACCTGAATTTTCTACAGGTGAGCCTTTGATTTTGTTGTACCCAGTGCTTAAAAGAAAATCATTACTAATAACCTAATTGGTACTTGGCAGGAACCCCGACCCCTGCTTCCGTTGTACCCGAGAGTAGCACTGCTGGTGCTCGTCGAGCAAGAGCTGACCTTAGCTGTGGTATGTCGTGTCATTGTTTGTGTAATTTATGCACATTGATCCCAATCCCTTGTAACTCAATTCGTTTAAACTGTCTACTGCAGGGAATGATTCCACCGCCACTGGAGGAGATGCTGGACGTCGCACGCCTGGCATGGAAGATCGTTCCGAATCGAGTGCAGGCGTGGCAATTCGTGCAGCTTGCTACCGTCAAGAAAAGCTCCCGTTCCTCTCCACTGCTTGTCCTGCAACAATATCAGCTGCCAATCCCAACTCCACTGCCATTACTACTTCCTCTGAACCTAGCCTCAATCTCATTGAGCTGTTGTACTCTAATGCTCTTTGACAAGTACAAGACGCATTGGCAGGAACGTTACCCTTGGCTCGTTCTAACCAAAACACCCAAGGGATTTCCTCCTTTCAAGTGTATCGTGTGCTCAGAGCATGCCCGGAGATACTGGGAAGTGTGGTCGTAAGGGAAAGGGTGCTACTGATGTGCAGAACTAGGCATTCAAGTGGCATGCCGGCACGAACAAGCACAAGTTGGCGATGCTGCGGCAAAACAACCTGCTTGCAAGCTGCCACCCGACAACCTCCCATTGATGAGCACCCAGCGGCAACTGACATCGAGAAGGATCGAGCCATCGCACTCCTCGATGCTCTCCACTTCAAACTGCAAGAGCAACGAGCCAATGGAAGCCTGGGTTCGGCCTGTGAAGTACCTTACAAAGAAGGGAGTGAAGGGATTTCCGAAAGGATATGGGAGCTACTATATCGCGTAAGTTTTGGGTCTTATCTAACTTAACATAGAGTTTCGCTCTATATGTTGAACCCATGTTGCTTACCACTACGTAGAATATACTTTTACAATTGTGTGCTTTCCACATAATCTATACAGATATGGCTTCGGGGAATTCACACAGTCAACTGCAACTTGGTTGCAGACAAACCAACTCTACCATATTTGGGCTAGTCCCTACTTGGGCCTCAGTTGCAACGAGTCAACCGATCGCCGCCGTGGGAAGCATCTCATCGTCTACGCTACATTCATCAAGAACAACGTGGTCACAGAGTTTTTCGCACTGTTGACTGTAGACCGAGCGAATGCGGCGTCACTTCTTGGCTTGCTGCTCTCACACCTTGGAGCTGTCGGCATCGACCTCTCCCGCCTGACTGGCATCAGCACAGACGGGGCGGCAGTGATGACTGGCGTACGCAATGGGCTTGTGGCAAGGCTGCGCACGTGCATTCCTCACCTCGCTTCTTGCCATTGAATTGTCGGGTGTCTTTATTGATTTGCTTCCAGGGTTTGTTTGTGTCTGGAAATAAGTTGAATGTTTCGTTTACGTTACTTTCAGGGAGGCGTTGGCTGCGAAGGATGCCGCAGACTCATTGCCACAGTTTGGGATGATAGATGCCTTCATCCGGTAGTTGGCGGAGATCCTTGGATGCTCGGGACCTTGGCACCAGCGCTTTCTGGATTTGCAAGAGCTGTTCTGCCAGAAAAGTCTCGAGCTACAGGGCATCTTCAATGTCCGCTGGCTATCTCGCGGTGAGGCCGTCCTGAGGTTGGTGGTGGTGCTGCCTGGTGTGATTGTTATGCTTCATGAACTGGTGATGCCAGGATGTACAAGATGGCAAAAAGCTTCATGTTTCAGTTCTTGCTCTTTTTCCTTGCTGACATGCTTGAGCAGCTGAACGTCTTGAACAAGACGTTCTAGCAGCGAGAGGTGAGATGGTGTTGATTTTGGTGGCGTGCTCAGTGAGCGCCTGTCTGCATTCCTACGGCTCCATGGGGAAGGGGGATTACGGCAAGTGACTGCTCAAGGGGTGGATGCTGATGGCCAGCCTACAACGCACACGTACCTTCTGCACGACGACGCGATTGAAAGCTACGATGACCCTTTCACCCACAATGGAGTGTGGACCTCTGTACGGCTATGGCGGAATCAATGGTGGGAAACCTGCTGGATCGGCTGGGCAACCTCGACTCGTTATCCGGAGTGCGCCTCTTCATCTCGCTTGACTGGCCATTAGCTTGCCAGAAGCGGAACGCCCTCTGCCTCGAACATCTCATGTCTCTGGTGGCTCTGTTTTGGGCGCAGCATTCAGAGGAGATCTTGCCCGGTATGTTGCGTTTTCGCATGTTTGAATCTACTATGTAGTTGCTATCACTTTAATAACTGAAGCGTGTCCTTGTTGATTATGGGTAGGCATCAACAAGCGTAGGGCTATCAAGGAGCTGCACAACTTCTGACCCGTTCGAGCTACTGCCCTGAGATGTGAGAAAAGTTTTCATGCAGGCCTCACTACGATGCTCAAAACGCCCGACTGGAAGGATGCCTATCTGAACCTGTGAAGCTGTG